GTACTGAAACTCTGCAACTTAGGAAACACTGAGTTAAAGTCCTGGCTTTAGCATGAGGAGAGAAAAAATGTGAATTTTAACATCCTTAGATATTAAATGATGAAATTGAATGATCTAGATAAAGGAATCAAAGTCATTCATCGGAAATAACTATATAATGACTTATTTTTTATCTTTTAAATATACAGTGATTAACAATGACCGGTGCGCACAAACTCTTTAATCAAACCTTTCCATGTTTCCGAATTTCCAAAAAAAGCTGAAAAGAAAATAGTAAAGCACATTATCATAATTTTTTTGAATAGATGGATGCATGGATGATTACTTTTTGATGAAGATGCTAAATTACAGTTCTTTGTTAGTTTTAGTTGTTAAATGTCTGGCTTGATATATTTCTGAGACGTCCAAAGTGCCGGCTCAAATTTGGGTAGAAAAACATGAATTTGGTTTGTTATTTGCTTACAAATGCAAATGTCATTTTTAGGTTTAAACAAGTTTTTGACAGATCTCTGAATTTTTTGTATTTCTTTGTTTTTATGACAGGCGGTCAAATATATGTGTTCAGCACTGCGTTAAACACTGTAATTAAATATGAAACATTTGATTTAGACATGAAAACGTAAAATCAAACATATTTAAAGATTACACCAGTAATAGTCCAATATGAATAATCCTGACCCACTGACCTAGATTCATCCATAACAGTACCCTGATCTTCGCTAAATTAAAATGCATGCTTATGCGTGACAAATGAATACAGACAGTCATTAACATTACGCTCAAGTGTACTTAACACGTATTTTCCTCTAGCTTTGTGCTGTTTGAGGTTGATGTTTTTTTAACTTCTGCTTTATGCTTGAAATAAAATCGGTGTCATGCAGGTCACCCCATAATAATTTATGAGTAGAAAATTATGCAAACAATTCTAAATTTGCATACTGCACCACTCCCTTTTGCTTTTAAAATTATAGGCACAGCAGACGAGCACTTCTATCACTGTTAATGTCCTCGTGTAAGCCTCTTAATTAACAAGAAACAACAACCGTGTGGGTAGTAATGGATGCATAAGCTACACATGACCAGCCAAATGTCAAATTAGTGTGAAAGGAAACGCCTGTTTAAGAAAGCCTACTCAGACCACTGAGGACAGAAAACACGATATTCCTTATTAACAAATTATGGGTAAACTACTTAATGTACTATTCAGACAAAAACAATGAATTTAATTAGTTCAACACAGATCAAGTGTGAAATTAAATTACAGCTCGGTAGCTTAACCCTCCAGTAAAATGTGTTTGAATAGATTATAGCATAACTTTTATTTTAATCTGTCACCCGGTCTGTAAAAAAGAAAAGTCAATTTGCATGTGAATGTTTTCCCCACATTTACATTTAGAGGCTATGAAGTGCATATGTACATGCCTCCGATGTGATGCTTCTTTTTTTTTTGAACTTCACCTTTTGTAGCTGAAAGGTTGAAGCTCTACTCCTAACGGACTGAAGCTTTATTGAGGATAACACTGACGTGATGACATGAAGGGCAAACTCATCATCCTGAGTGCTCCTGAGTGCTTCAAAGTGCTCTGAACCTAAAGTCACACTAAAAGTAAATTGCACACTTGTGGCGTAAAAACATTGCTAAGTGCTAACATGTCATTGGTGTGGATGTATATCTTTAGGTATATCCTGGTGTGAAAACTTGACACATTTACAGCCTTCTTAACATCTCATAATGTCTTCCCAAGCACTAAAAGCCTTCTGGACGCATACGTTAAGGTTTCCTGCACTTTCCAGTGAAAAGCACTTTAAGACCGTCTTAAGCTTCACAGAGCCAGCTTCACCGTTTCTATATACTCTGGAAACCTTTCATAGTCAGAAGATTTCTGGTGTTTTACCCGCACACTAACAACAACTCATTTAGATGCATTAGATCTTTTGTGTATGTACTTATATATTAATTCCGATATTACTCATAAATCACCACCTACCCACCTACCTATCGATCGATCTATCCTACATGCATATCTGTGTTGTCTTTCAGAAGGAAACTATACAGACCCAAGCACCAAACAGCTCCTCTATTACAACTTTATATTTTATGTCACGAGATTGAGAATATCTCCCTTCTACTTAGCAGAAGTTAAGTGAAAAGATGTAGAAGACAACTTTGATGGGCATTTAAACAGGATTAACAATTTGTTAAAAAGTAAAGGCTGAAAAGCCTTTTTATCAAAAAAAAATTTGAAGGAAACATTTTCTCTGCAGTCTTCAAGACTACAAGGCAGCAGATCTAACCACAGCTTCTCACCATGCTTACTATTGTGGGGACCACAAGTTTTGATTTCCCAGACTTCCATGCAAATAAGCTCACCATGCAGTATAGGCATAACCCCATAGGAAACATGCTTTGCTTTGGACAAAGACCGGATTTAAAACTGTAGTTACATATTTGCCTAACAGGTGAAAGACCCCTCATATGAAACACCAATCTCTTGGGCAGCTGTGTCAGGAAGGGCATCTGCTGCAAAAATCTGCCAGATTAAGCGTGTGGAGATAACTGCTGTGGTGACTCATTGTGAATAAGGAGCACCTGAAAGTAGCTTTATGCGTGATCTAGACATCTACTAAACTTGTGACACAATGAACGTGATTTTAATCTCGACAGCTCTGTACCATTTACACACCCTTTCAGACCCATAATCAACAGAAAATTGCTCAGTGGGGTATGGATGAATGGCTGAAATTAGGTTGAATCGTGTTAGTGTAAAGGCCTGAAATGACAACCTTTCTCTTTTCAACTCAATTCAGATTTATTTTTAAAAGAGACTTAATCCACAAAATAATGTCCATAGACATCTGGTACATGGGGGAGCAATTTTTCTTCATTAATGAGGTTATTTTGTTTCCATTGTCAAAGTGAAAATATGTCTAGACTGAGTTTTCCTTATTCGGAAAGGATCAGATGGAATGCTTTAAGATCACATTGCCAACTGATGCAAATAAATTCTGTTTTTGAGGAATTAAGGCAATTTTTTTAAGAATGGTACTGGACCAGAATTTCACCATCAGCTAATCTACTAACAAATTTGACTTCAATCCAATCTCCAATAATATTTAAAGAAATGTAGACTCAATCATGAATCAGTGTCTTAGCACCATCAGCCTTAACCCAATTTTCCTTGGGATGAATAAAGTATTATCAATCAATCTATTTACACCTACGTATTTCCAGCTATTGAAATGGAAGAGAATCGATCAACTTGAAAAGAGAAAGTCACCTGCCAACAGTAGAACAATGCAGTCACACCATGTGCAGGTACAAATGCTGGCAACGACATCACCCACACTGTAGGCTCTCCATACATTTGACACAGACGTTAATCAGCCTCAGTGTTCAGTTAAACCCTCAGTTCCTTTATTTATTTGCCTTTACCTACTGTAAAGGCAAATAAATAAATCTCAAACTTTTACTCAAATACTTACTTTACTTAAATAATGGTCAGACACCTTAGTCTCACTTCATACTTTTCACCTGATTATCCGTGGCCCATTAGTGTGACCCGCCATAGTCTAAGGACCGCCGCTATAACGAGTGACAGCGTCACCAGAAGTCAACCTTTGTCCCTCCTGCAGCTGCACGTGCAGACAAAATGACACCATTACCTGTTGTAACATTAATGAAGGTCACCTGTGTGTTGTTGTCTGAATGGTATTCTACTGCTTTAGTATTAAAATTATGGAAAGCTCATTTCTCACATCATCATAAGTAGATAAAAGCATGAGGATGAACCTGTTTGTGTAGTTCAAACTGCATTCACAATATCACATATTACTAATTATTTATGTCCTTATGAACTTTGTGTTCATATATTTTCTGAGCAACAGAAAGAAATCTATGAACTGGGTTGTAAACACAAGCAACAAGAGTAAAAACAGACTGCTGCTTGTCTGACAAGTAGCACGACTCACAGATAACTAAGATATTATGTGAATTCTGTCAAGAGAAAGTTTACAGAAAGAAAACCTAATATGCTCACATTTATATAACTGTGATACTCAGTCTGTAAGCTTGTACCAGCAGTCTGCTTAGTTTATAGTTTTCTGGATAGGCTTAACAAGGGTGTGGGAGTAGGTTAGTGTGGTTGTTTATATTCTAGTCACAAAGATCTGCAGATGCTGAATTGTTTCCATTTGGGAAAGGTAACTGCTCTTATCTGGACTGTGGGTGGATTAATGAGGGCTGAACATGTTTTACAATGTGCCCCGTTCTACTTTACTCAGAGTTCAGCTCGTCTAGAAGGAAAAAAAACAAAAACATATACATTTAAAAGCAGCTCCACAGAACAATACTGCCCCCATCTGGTCAAGCACAAAAACCCAATAAATCTTGAGAAAAAATAATAATTTAATTTTCTTAAAACACATAAACATTTAAATTCAATTTTTATGCCTTGTGATTCATTTTTATATTGTGCCAATTCAAAAACGGTCACCTTAAGGTGCTTTATATGGTAAAGGTAATGACACCAACAAGTCCACTGTCCCAAATATGGGAACAAGTGAAAAACACTGTTTTGGTCAATGAGCCATTCCATGCACTAAGACTGAAACACTGAGATACTGAAAGGGTTCTGTAATAGAGCACAAGCAATGAAAGACTTTTATAATTCACTTACATACTTACAATATGAGTAGACTATAATAATTAGAACATTCATTCAATATCCCCAAAATCTCCAGCCTTCCTGACATTATGTGTGAGTAAGAGTTGTGGATAATTTGGAGTCTCACACTTAACAATGTTGGTATTAAGATAAACATCCAGGAAATTCCTTATAAAATAATAAAAGGCAGCACAGAGGCTTTTAATACTGTAAAATAGGATTTCATGACTTTCATGTTATTTGGGTACAAATGTGTTTGCTCATACTTGATTGGCCAGTAAAGCCTCATTCCAGATGATGATGTCATGTTCAGAGGTTTTTTTTTTGGTCCCTCTGCTGCATCAATAAATTGGCCTCATTCAGTTTCACACTGTTACCTGTCAGAACATGGCACACTACTCAGTACGCACACAACATACAGCTAAAGTCCACAACAACTGATCTGCACTTATGTGTAACAGACTACTTTATCACTGCTCCCTGGCTTTGTGGGGAAGGTGGAGTGAATATAGTTGAAACTCACACAGGGGATCTCAGTGTGTGTGTTATGGATCATCAAATTGATGCCACATAAGTCGAAAAGTGGTGAGAACAATGAAATGCTGTGGAAGTTCACTTCTGTACAGCCCCACTGGTACTGGTTGGTAACCTAGGATCCCCAATAAGGATGACAATAAGTGTGTGTGGGTGTGTGTGTGTGTGTTCGTGTGTGTGTGTGTTCGTGTGTGTGTGTTGGGGGAGGGGTGGGGGGTGTCACAAGATAAAACCAGTAGCAGGTTTAAAAATATGTATGGCAAATTTATAGACAAATATAGTTATTTTGATTCAAATGTATTGTTTTCCTTGCAAGTTTTTGTATTTTGTTTTTATGTGTTCAAGAGGAAAAATGAAGCAGAAAAAAAATCTGTTTTATCTGAAAAGTTCACAGCTGGGAAACATTTGAAACTGATGAAAGGAGTGGTGAGTGGCTTTGAGTCTCAAGAGACCAAGCTATTCTAGAGACTAAAATGCCAGAGTGGGGTCATTTTATTATATTTTTTCTGATGGCTTTACTCGCGTTTATCTCACCTCTGGTGTTTCATTTATATGTGACAGATATTCTAAAATGTTCTAATAGACTTAAACGTGACTGAAAACTAGAATTATGTAAAAAGTAATCAAAACATTTTCATCATCAACTTTGGCAACAAGCCTTATGCAGCTGCACATCTTACTATTCTAAGTCATCATAATTCCTGTAAAAAACTATGAAAGTTTCAATGAAAAGTTGCAGATAAAGTTCAAATATTTAAAAATAATCACTGCTGGGCTCATAAATTATCCCGATCAATCACTTGAAGGTTATAGGCTGACCAAAAACCAAAGTTTTTAAGAAGTACTAGCAGAGCACACTAAACTGCATATACAGTCTGTAGAGGCTAAGCCTACACTGGAAGCAGGTGAGGTGTTCGTGTGTCTACCTTAAATACATTCCCATAGACACACCATATGTAAAACACAAAAGGTGACCACTAGCGCCATACATGAGGTACCAATTTAAATCTGTTACTCGTGTTCCTCTTTAAAACTTCTTTAATCACGCATTTTCTTGTCAAGATGAGAAAAACATGGCATTGAGCCTGCAGACTCACCTGAGAAACAGGTAATCACAGGTTGAATCCCACTCACAGTCATCAAACATCAGCACCCGAAAGTCGCAGGATATACACCTCAGCTGGTCACATGATCTATTGGTATACAGTCAGTTATTATTTGCAATAGGCAATGAATACACACTATAGGTAATCACTCATTGGTCTATAATCATTTGAAAATGCACCGTGGTATAATTTATTTAAACTAATAAAAAGTATGTTGTGGATCCTAGAGTTCTACATCTTTATAAACCAGGACCAGACGAGACCTGACAGACGCTCTCAGTATGAAATTATTTTTTCACACCTCTTGGATGCGGCTGTTCCGACACCATTTGCGACAGAGCTCCCGCCAATAAAAACAGGACAGCACCTGGATGCAGAACACACAGTGCAGATTGTGTCCAGACAAACAGAAAGAGCAAGAAAATCAAAATCCTGCATAAACAGGATACACAGCCTGAACAAACACACAACCTGGTTGTTACTTTTATATTTAATATAAAGACTTTTATCTGGCCACTGATACGCTTCCACATAATTTGTTACTGACTTTTATCTTGGTTAACTATCCTCCATACACTGATTTAGTGAATATCCAAACTTATGGCACATGTAGAAATACTAACTCCGAGACAAATGCAGTTTAACTTCCTTGCATCCTGTGATTATTGCATGCCTGCATGTTTTTGTTGGGTTATTTTTTAAAGTTTGAATAAACTAAAAGACTTACTTTCTCCCTCCCGACTGAGATGGAAGCCTCTTTTCCACATGTGGCCCTTTAGGAAACTGCTCAGCCTAAAATGAAAGGTTAAAAAAAAAAAAAAGAGTTATTTCTTTCTTAAACTGACTTAGTCACATTTGAAAACCCAGGTGTATGTTTATGGCTCTAACTGGTTATTCATAATGAAGGTAAAGACTTGAAGATGAGACAGGTACATCATAATAATATCTGACTGTGAAGGCAGAAGCTGAACCTAGATATCGGCACTTCACTTTAAGTGTTTCACATAATTGTATTCTTCCACCTGCCTCTTCTTAGAACCCGCTCCTGGTGCCTGTGCTGCATCCTCTTTGTACCAAACATAGCTGGTCACAGCCAGTTTTAGTGTTGTGACCGAGTGACCGAGTTTCCCTCTGTCAGAGGACCAGAGCGGCTGAGTCATGTGTTATTTGGAGGATCTGAAAAATAATTTTGAACATAAGAATTTGAGCCGTACCTAAATTAATAGATTTTGCCCCCACTTGAAAAAAGAAATCCTTTGAGTATCTGGTTCTCCAGCTTGAAATGCTCCGCTGTGTTTACCTGCTGGTCACTAACTTTCTTTTTATTGGTCAAATTGGTTGATCATAGCTTTTCTGTTAAATTGATGCTGAACTGAACAATTTCTAAGGCACAAAGGCAAAACAGAGGAAAAAATGTAACAAATTGCATAGCAGGGAACTACAGTGTATTAGGAACAGATATTTCCTGTGTGTGTGTGTGTGTGTGTGTGTGTGTGTGTGTGTGTTATGGGGTTCTTTGTGGCAGCAATTTATTTAATTAGTGTAATTGTTTTATATAGCACATTTTTTGGCTTGCTCTTGCCTAATAAGTCAACTTGTCACATCATCCATTTAGTTAATAGCTGACACACATTAAATATTTGGAATTTTGTTACTGGAAACTGTGTATCCTCTACTTTTATTATATATTTTCCCTCACTTTATGCAAAATTATCATGATTAGCTAATGCAACTCCTTTGAGAATAGTTTCAAACAATAATTTTCTGTTTTTTCCCCTCAGTATACCTGTCTATCAGCTCAATTATCCAAGTTAAGGCTACTCCCTGCTTCATTCATTGGGCACTGTAAGACTGTGGCTCTCAAACTGTGGCTCATGAACAATCAGAGGACCGTACTTTCAAGCAACATTAGAGATCTATTAAAGTAACTTAAAGTTTTACCCTAAAAAGCGGTTGACTTCTTATAAGAATACACTGCGATGGTAACTTGTGCTGCAAATCAACACGTATAAAAATCACTTTTTGCTAACCAATCAGTTTTCTAAAAAGCAGTGACAACAGAAGAGTGGCACCTTGTGTGCTCTTCTGCAGCTGTAGCTCATCTGCTTCAAACTTTGATGTTTTGTGCATTTAGAGATGTTCATCTGCATTCCTGGTCTCTCGCAAGTGGTTTTTTGAGTAACTGTTGCCTTCCATTCAGCCCACAGCCTTAATCCTCTTACCTCTCTGGGTCAAGGCATTTTGACCCCGAAAACTGCTGCTCTCTGGATATTTTCTCTTTTCCAGAAAATTCTCTGCAAAGATGGTTGTGTAAGAAAATCCTAGCAGATCAGCGTTTTATGATATACGTAGACCAGCTAGACCCAGACCATGTCACCAATGACTATGCCACATTCAAAAATCACTAAAATCATCTTTCTTCTGATTCTCTGCTTGAACTTAAGGAGCTTGTCTAGACCATCAGCATGCTTAAATACATTGACTGTATGCCGTGTGATTGGCTATTTAGATTGGATTTGCATTAACAACCACTTAACTGGTGTATACCTAATGAAATGGCTGGTGAATGTATATAGGGCCTTTCAAGGCTTACTGACTAAAGCACTAAACCACACATATTCCTATCAGGCACTGCTGACAAATGCCGGGTTGACTTATGAAGGTAATAACTACCTTTGTGTAAGTGCTTAACCTGAATGCAGATATTGAGATAAATTAATCTTGACATTTTGAACTTACTCTGTGGTCCTACATGAAAACAAACATGTGAAGTGAAACTAGTTGAATAAATATACTTATTGCTAAGGCTTGATAAAATCTCTGGGGCATGCCAGCCTGAGGGCCAACACCAGCTCTTGGTAAGATTTTATGAGGATCCCGAGCCTGAGAAAGAAGAAAGCACACCTGTGCATTTCATTCATGACTTCATCACTTCAGACATGATACAGCAGTGCAAAATAAGATTATGGGACCACAACACAAGATTAAGCCTTCCTAACAATTTCAGATACAAGCAGTGCCAGCTCAGCATCAGTTAAAAACTTAAAGTATATGACAGCAGTGTGACCCTCAATCATATGCAAGACTTAAAAGATGTTTTAAGGTGTACTTGGCAAGCTTTCCTATATGCCGTGCCTTCTTGTAATTCACAGTTCTCTTTCCAGAATTCCGAGCGGGTTCAAGTCAATCTTACCTTTGGCTGAGGGAAATGACTGCAGTCTTCCTCCTGTAATTCCTCTAGCAGGGCGTCAATATCCTCAGTGACACTGTTCACTGACCGTTTAGGCTTTGTGGCACTAAATCAGAAACAAATACATGGGTTAGTGTCTTGGGGTTGTAGCAGGTGCTGGTGACAGATATTAATGACTGTTTTTAAGAGCAAACCTCTGTATCTACAATAACCCATATTCAGCATATTTCGGCAGTTTCTAGTATAATTTGAAAACGCTGAAGCCATTGAATATAAACTGAACTGATCATTAAGTTTATTAAATAGTAGCAATGCATGGAAGCTGAAGTAATGCTCAGCTAACTTATACCTGACATGTGCTAGCCAAGTTAGCTTTGTTTACCCGTGCTTTTTCTGTCCGTCTTTGTCTTTCTCGTCTTTTCCAATCACATTTGAGTTGGTGCGAGCCGCTGAGGACGCGATTGAAACGTTGCGACAAAACTTTTTCTCGACTTCATCCAGCAACT